CCCCTTTGTCATATACTAACCTCTGTAACTGGTTATTGAATTTTCTAAGTCGGTTTTAAGCTAAAAGCCAACTGTACCCGTTTAATCGGATAAACATGACCCATGTCAGTTCAAACATGTTTATCCTATAAAAAACACTTATTCATAGAATAGAGGTAGATTGAACTGAGCTAAGGTTGTTCTCAATTCATAAAAACTGAAATTTTCAAAAATTTTCATGACAACTCCCAAAATTTGTGAGGATTTTTTTTCTTCTTCAAATTAGCTCAACTATTTAGGCACATATATGGCATTATTTAAACAGCAGAATTAACATGCATATTACCCAATGGTATAAATCTGAATAAAAAAGATTTAAATATTTCCCATTTTGTATTGGTTACAGTGTTTAATTTACCAAATTTAAAGACATTGGCTGATTTTACAAAAAGTTAAAAAAATCGCTGTCACTATGTTTTATTCCATAAAAACAATGAAATATTACAATACAATACAATACATACAAAATTTTATTCAGCATAAAACATAAACATATGTTTAGAGCCAATACAAACAAAAATGTTCAGCGACAGACATGACAAAAGAAATGAAATTTTATCCGAAGAGAGTAGTTCAAATGACATAAACAATTCTCACAAACTGTCTAGATATACAAAAAAATACTAAATATATTGTTACATATATATATTAAAAAAGAAGTTCTAGTTATTAAGGAAAAAATAGAGTTAGTAATAAAGATATTTAAATTTAGAGAGTGTATTATGAGATGCGGTTTTTCATTGCAAAATAAATATATTTTGCTAAGTTCAGTAGAACAGATTTAGATTTTGATGACATTAATTTTTCGAATTTAGTGATATTCGGCCAACGACAATAATATTGTTTAAAAAAATTTACTTCTTAAGTCACGGTGAAAATGGACATACTAGCAAAAAATGGTACTCATTTTCAATGGTTTTCATATTGCACGATTTGCAGAGTCTCTGTTCTCGTGGAGTATCATTATATCTTCCAGATTCTATAAAAAGATTATGTGATGAAGTTCTAAATCTTGACATAGCAATTCTATATTTCTTATCAGTAATCACTTTCAGATATTCTTCTAATTCGAATTCATACTTAAAGACACAATATGACTGTAAACGATTGGAGTTATTGATATCAGAGTACCATTTTTGTAAAAAGTTATCAATAATTCTCTGTTTAATCAATGAAAAAGGAATATCGATTTCAAATTGATCATTCCATACATACAATAAACCATGTTCTTGTAAAATATTTTTTATTTGAAAAGCCCAATTTTTCCCATTATATTTTAAATTACGATCTGCATCTACTTTTAAAATTAAATAGCTTCTTCTAACCAGAGCAGTATCATTCTGTTTTAAAATTTTTATCCAGTACTTAATCATATTTATTTTTTCGAATGAATAACAAAGGAATTCTTCCTAATTCTCCATAAAGTGTAGATAAATTTGTTGACTTTTTGACACCCAAAATGCGTCTTAAAAACTTAGTGTGAATAGACTCAATATCCTTTGCTTCATGTATACCCCATATTTCGGATCCAAAATTTAGAATTGAAGATACTAGTGTATCGAATAACTTACATTCTGATCCATTGGTAGTTCTACATCGTTAAATATACGAAATAGATTATTCATAGCAAATGATGCATGTTGGGCGATGCATTTTTGCGTACGGTACCAATTACCATTTTTGAATAATGTAATACCTAGGTATTTAAAACAGGTTACTGTTTCTATAATATTATTATAAATTTTGAAGTTATACATGGTGTGCCTCCCATTTTCAAAGATCATCGCTTTTGTTTTTGAAATGTTAATTTTTTAACCCCATAAATTACAATAATTTTCCACATCAGTTAACATAGACTGTAAAGTTTCAGGCGTTTTAGCAAAAATTGCCTGATCATCTGCATACATAAGAATGAACAGTTTTAATTCATTTATAGTAAAAATGCCATCAAGATCAGTATTTTATATTATCTAAAATGTCGTTCACAATAAGCATGAAGAGCAGAGGTGGGCTGGGGTCACCTTGCTTCGAGCCCACTCTAATTGAAGAATGCAGATGTATCTGACTTATACCTTACACTAGTTTTTACTGTTTTAAACATTGATTTTATGGCCATAACAAATTTACAACTGACATTATCTGACAAAAGTTTTTGCCACAAAAAGTTTCTTTCAATTTTGTCAAAACACTGTTGATAATCAATGAACACACAATATACGTTTTTTCACCAGAATTTAAAACTTTAGCTATTATAGAATTTAGGATAAATATGCAATCAATTATCGATTTTCCTTTTTGAAATCCGAATTGGCTTTGTGTAATCTTTTCGTGTTTTTCAGTCCATTTCGTTAAACGGTTAAGTAATAATTGTGAATAAATTTTTGCTATAACATTAATTAAAGTAATTCCACGATAGTTCTCTGCATCATTTATATTACCTTTTTTGAAAATTGGAGTAATAATCCCTTCCCCCACGAGCGCGGGTATTCTCCTGTATTAAAAATTCTGTTATATAAATTTAGTAATAATGGCGAGATAATGTCATATGTCGATTTAAAGATTTCGCTAGTTAAATTATCGATACCTGGCATTTTATTATTATTCTGAGAAAAAGTTGCTGCACGGAGTTCTGCTTCTGTGAAATTCATATCTAAGTCTTCATTGATTGTATTTTGGGAAAAGTCCGGGTCCGGTTGATTATTCAATAATGACTCCCCAAACAGACTTTTAAAAATGGTCATGTAATTCATTAACTGTTAACGTTTCAGCCTTTGTATGTGTTCTATTTAAAGATTTTTTGATATTTTTCCAAAATTTACGTGGTTCTTTTTTTGCTAAATTATTAATACGATGCCCTTCTTTTATTTTAAAATCTCGTTTTGCCTTTCGCTTTATCCTATTGTACTTAGTTCGGGAATGTATAAAATTATGTCGCATTTCGTCATTTTTTGTTCTATTAAAATTATTTCGAGCTGCTTTAAATTCTCGTTTGGCGTTGTAACAATTAACATCAAACCATTTACTGCTCGCTTTTTTATTCGATTCATATCTATTTGTTTTACAAGTTTTCCCAAATATGATTAATGCGTTGTCATATAAAAATTGAGTAAAGTTGTTTACCGTCTGGTCAATCGGGCCGCTTAATGCATCATTGGTTAACCTTTCAATGTATTCATGATTATTCATAATGTGTGTGCGGAACATTTCGGATTTTTCGCTATCCCATATAAATTTTAGTCGATTTATTTTCGTATTCCTGCGCGTCGTTGTTCTGCGACTGAATTTGTTTAGTCATTATGCTAAATGTTAACGGTGCGTGATCCGAATGTTCATTAAATTCCAGTACAGAGAAATGTGTAACAGTTTCGAAGTCGCATTGATTTAGTAACAAATAGTCCACCATGCTTTGTCCTCTACACGAGCAATATGTAAAACAACCTTCGTCACGGTCATTTAACAAGCGGCCATTGGCTATTAAAAGCCCGGTAGCGATACAGGTATCTATTAAGCGACGCCCACTGTTATCGACCACGTGGTCTTTATTTACACGTTTCAAAATGTCAACAATATCATTTGACGGAAAAATCGTGGTCAATATATTTATCAAATATGAAATAATCTAACATATCAGAGGTTCTGCTATTGAAATCGCCAGAAATGTATACTTTCCCTAAACACCCATACTTAATTATGTCTAATTCTAATTGATCATATAAATCAATATCAAATGTGGTAAGAACTTTTGAGTCCGACGGAGGTATATATATGTGACCCAAATAAACATCATCTTTGAATGGGAATATATCTGCGGATAATTTAACCCAAATTAAACCATGCTGATTTTTCTCAACAATTTTAACATAGTTTTTAAGATTATTTTTATAATAAAACGATATGCCCCCACTATAGCGAGCTTTTCTAGTATTCCTAGCTTTGTTCCCAAAAATGTGTTCACAATGATAATCTTTTACATCAAAATTTACCTGATATCCAAGTTTCGTTAAAAAATAATAAATCATAATCAGTTATAAATTCCAAAAAGTCCTCATCATTAATTTTACGTTTAAGACCGTTAACATTCCAGAAGAGAATGTTTAAAGATTGCTCTTCTCGACTTGCCTATTGTTTCATGTCCTGATATTCTTCACCATTAATGAAAAGTTTTTTTCCTACAAATTTAACTGTTTTATGTTCATTTTTTGCCTTTTTCATCACTGGATATAGAGGTTTCCTGGCTTCACGTACACTTCTCGGAAGTTGAGCTCCTACCCCTTTCTTAGCGGCTCTCAGCGTGTCTGCCCTGTCAAATGAAGATTGACGAACAATTTCGCGTTCAGCAGGATAGTGGAATTTAACCACTATAGGACGGATCTTGTCGTGTCTTTTATCCCCGAGTCTATGGGCTCTATCAAAAACAAAGTCGTCAACCTTTTCCACCTTCAAGAGATCCCTGCAGAAATCCTTTACAATATCCGTACAATTTTCTGTAACGTTGTCCTCCGGTATACCGTAGAACAGAAGATTGTCTCGCATTGAGCGCATTTCTATGTCTGTTAATTTTTCATCAATTTCGTCTTGTTGTTGGACGAGTGATTTAGATTTTTTTTCTAAATTCTGGAACGATTTTTTCACTTGTTTAATTTCATCTTTTGCATATTTAATCTCATTTTTATTAGATTCGTTTTCAGACGCGACAAAGTCGCATGCTTTTTCTGTTTCTTTAACTCTTGTGTCCAAATTTTTCATTTTACTTTCTAAATCAGTCACCTTTAGATTTATTACATTAACGGTTTGTTTTATTTGTTTAATTTCATCCAAAAGTTCTGTTGCCCATGGTGGGGTTGTTGGTTGAAAGTTCTTACAATAAATTAGAAAAGAAAATACTTCTTGATTGGTCTTAAGTAATGGTTTACTGCCCAACTTAGATCTTTAAAGGTGGTACTGGTATAGGCAAAGTGACAAATGCAAAATATTAATAATTCAGACTTTGTAATAGTATTACGATTATGTTTCAGTGTTGTGCGTTTGATTGAACAGTATCTGAAAGAAAACAATCTTTTAAAAACACTTACAGTGTTACAGGTAAATTTTCCAATATTTAAACATGTTGTGTCTTGTGAATAAAATTATCTTTAATAGAAGAAAAAAATAAAGATAGAATATATATATTTTTAATATTTTTTAAATTCATTTTAAAAATGAATTTTAAAAATATTGAAGATATATATATTATTTTTATAATAAGAAAATAGTGGGACAAAAGGGATATTGTAGCTTGAAAAGATATTGTATCATAATTTAATATTAAATCATTAAAATGTATATAGATACGTTTTTAATAAAATGACCCATTGAAATCTACACATTTCTTATATACTTATTTTGAAATAGTTGTTTTGTTTATTGTTCATCTCTGTAAGGAGCTTGATACATTGTTATCAAATGTTATTAATGACAGAAATATAAGAAAGTGCAACTTTCCATTTGACATCATTTATTTGTGTTATTGCTAAAAAGTGGACATAAATAAATAATGAGTTAAAAGTAAACATTAATAAAAGATGTAAACAAACATTCCATAAGTAACATAACTCATTTTTAAAACCGAATTTAATAATGATGTGCTTGTTTTACTTGTAGGAAGAAAGTGGTATATCTCTCAACACAGTAGACTCTGTAGATGGATTTATCTCAGATATTACCAGTGGTCACTGGGACACTGTTCTTCAGGCCATTCAATCACTCAAACTGCCAGACCAGAAACTAATTGATCTTTATGAGCAGGTAAAAACAAATGTTTAAATATGATTACAACTGTTTGATTTGGCAAGTTAATCGAAGCAAATTTTACCTACATGTAAGACTTTAACCTTCTAGATTTGACTACTCACCAGCATTGCTTTTAAAAGATTCCCTTCAATAAGGGGTTTTAAATATTGAGCTACCAACAGTTTAGAACCTAGTCAAACTTTATGAAAGTGCACACTGGCAACACTCATTATGTTGTCTTAAACAGGTTCAAAAGGTTGATCATGGCCAGTTCCAGCAGGTTAAGTGTTTTATGTTGAGACATTTGTAACAGATTAGATTGATATTTAAAAGTTTATATACATTTTTATTTAGTCTATGTGCCTTCAGAAATATCAGAAATACTAGACTTGTTTTTGAGAATAGAAATATAGATTTTGAGAAAAGAAACAGCAGTCTTAAGTCAGGTGGCCTGTAAATACAGGTATATAAATTTACAATAATTGTGCAAAAAATAAAATGTTGGCATTTAGTGATGTTTTGTCATATTTTCTTTACTTTGAGATGATTATTCAATCTTTACAAGTTTTTCAGCAGTATTTTGTCTTTAACTTGTAACTAATATTTTGTAATTATTATATTATAACATGGGTATATAATAATAATACAATCAAACATCATTGTTATAGCTGTATATGTTTTACTATTAGTTATTGTAATCGTTTCATAGACTAAGTGACCACTTTGTGCAAAATTGATTATCGTTTTGGTTGAAGTCTTTCTTGTGTTGCTATGTTGTTTACTTCTCGGTTCTTATTTTATTTAGAAAATTATATATACTGCACATTTAATACATTTTGTATTATTTTCATCTATATCTGATAGTGCTGGGTAAGGTTAACTTATTTATATTTTTGAAACATTCACCTATATTTGTTCCAGATTGTGTTAGAGTTGATAGAGCTTCGGGAACTGGGAGCGGCCAGGTCACTTTTACGACAGACAGATCCAATGATTATGTTAAAACACAACCAAGCTGATAGATATATACATTTAGAGAATATGCTTGCCAGGTCCTACTTCGACCCCAGAGAGGTGAGGTTCTTTTGTTACCAACAAAATACTCAAATAGTAATCAAGTTTAAGAAAATTGATCACTGACTCGACCTATTATAATCTTTAAAGGGATAAAAAAAAAATGTTTATTATAATCTGCTACAAGTATAAAGTGGCTTGTATTCAGTATTTATCATAATATGCAATGTAAATTTCTAACAGAGACTGTCACCTTTTGTCTGTGTGATATTTGAAATTTATTACCCTTAACTTAACTATGTCATTTGTCACTCTGATGAGTATGTTTTTACAAAGATTAAAATTATTGTTGTAAATTGTTCTAGGCCTACCCAGAAGGACAGACAAAGGAGAAAAGACGTACAGCTATAGCTCTTGCCTTGTCTGGAGAGGTAAATGTTGTACCACCATCCCGTTTGTTGGCCTTGCTAGGTCAGGCACTAAAGTGGCAACAACATCAAGGTCTCTTACCCCCAGGTAAGCTAGAAATTATAGTAGGCTGTAATAGATAATGCATAGTATAATCTGACAAGACATTGCTGAACTATTCAAGAACTATTCAATAGACATAATTTGTAAGGACATTGTAATGGTCACTGTTATTGGACAACATTTCCAGAATTTTATGTCATTTCTTTCGCCTGTGTTTTATTTTGTCACCCCAGTTTTCTTTGTTATACAGAGATTTATTTTTGTCATGCCAGTTTTCTTTCTTATAATGCAGAGATGTTTGTTGTTTTGTTGTTGTTGTTTTTTCTCTCTTGTTTTGGAAGAGGCCTTAGAGTCTTGATTTAGGGAATAGTTATCACTATTTTCAATTTGGGAAGAAAAAAAGTTGGTGTAAGTTCAGACTTTGGGGAAAACGGCATGATTTAAAGAAAAAATTCTATTGGGAAAATTATATGATTTAAAGGTGAAAAATCACTGAGAGTTCATGAATAACTTTATTTTAACAGGAACAACAATTGATGTGTTCCGAGGAAAGGCAGCTGTCAAAGAACAAGAAGAAGAAAAATACCCTACACAGCTTAATAAAACTATTAAGGTTTGTTTCCATTGTAATTTTTGGTCAAATGTTTCTCTCTTCTTTTTTTTTTCAAGGATAAGGGAAACAAAATATTACAATGTTTGGGTAAAATGAGGCAGAAAATGGCTAAGTTAACCTTTTACCCCATGAGCATATTGCGAAAAATGGCCATTTTCACTGAAAAGCCTCCTGTAACAAGTTCAAACTGCTATGAAAGTATGAAAAATGCTTCAATACAAATGAAACTTGGCACAAATGTTGACTACACCATAGCCTCTGTAACAGCATGCTCAATGGTAAATTTCCTGTTACCATGGCAACGGGGGGACGTCACAAAATTACCAAAAATCACTTTTTTGCATTGTTTTTTTTTCCATCAAAACTGATTTCAAAGTGCTGAAACTTCTCAATGAATTGAGATAGAGTAAAAGGCTTTTCAGCGTCGGTTACTAGCTACCTTAAGATCGACCTGAGGCCATTTTTAGCCTGTCGCATGTCCAAAATTTCTTGGAGATGAGGGGGAGTCCGCCCCCCTTCAAACCTCCCAAACAGAAAGGGGCACATCCCCCATCTGGCAACCCCCTGATGTAATATTTGGACGGGGGTCGGCGCCGAAAAAGTGGTCACTTTTTTTAACAACATTTCTCAAACGAAAAACAGTGTTGGTGGCCTAAATAGGTCATTTTTTCACTGTTTGAGGCCTCAAAAAGGGGGGGGGGGGGGGCAAAAAGCCGTCAAACACGCTTATTAATATTTTCTGAATATAGTAAATAGCTTTCAAGAATGGATATTTCTCCATTCTAAGGTTATTGTCTTCTTTTTTATATGCCCGAAAGAATTTCGGGCATATTATGTTATACCCCCTGGCGTCCATCTGTCTGTCTGTCCGTCTGACCGTTAGCAATTTGGTTTCCGGAGCATAACTTAAGTTCCATCTGGCCCACAATATTCAAACTTCATAGGATGATTGTCCATATTGGGTAGAAGACCCCTATTGATTTTGGGGCCACAAGGCCAAAGGTCAAGGTCACTATGACTTTAAAACTGAAAACAGTTTCCGGAGCATAACTCAAGTCCAATTTTGCCCACCCTGTTCAAACTTCATAGGATGATTGTCCTATTGGGTAGAAGACCCCTATTGATTTTTGGGTCACAAGGTCAAAGGTCAAGGTCACTATGACCTTAAAACTGAAAACAGTTTCTGGGGCATAACTAAAGTTCCATGTGGTCCACAGTGTTCAAACTTCATAGGATGATTGTCCATATCTGGTAGAAGACCCATATTGATTTTGAGGTCACAAGGTCAAAGGTCAAGAACACTATTACTTCAAAACTGAAAATAGTTTCTTGAGCATAACTTAAGTTTCATTTGGCCCACAGTGTTCAAAATTTATAGGATGATTGTTCATATTGGGTAGAAGACCCCTATTGGTTTTGGGGTCACAAGGTCAAAGGTCAAGGTCACTATGACCTTAAAACTGAAAACAGTTTCTTGAGCATAACTGAAGTTCCATTTGGCCCAGTGTTCAAACTTCATAGGATGATTGTCCATATTGGGTAGAAGACCCCTATTGATTTTGGGGCCACAAGGTCAAAAGTCAAGGTCACTATGACCTTAAAACTGAAAACGGTTTCCGGAGCATTACTTTAGTTCCATTTGGTCTACAGTGTTCAAACTTCATAGGATGATTGACTATATTGGGCAGAAGACCCCTATTGATTTTTGGGTCACAAGGTCAAAGGTCAAGGTCACTATTACTTTGAAATTGAAAACAGTTTCTTGAGCATAATTTAAGTTCCATTCAGCCCACAATATTCAAATTTCATAGGATGATTGTCCATATTAGGTAGAAGACCCCAATTGATTTTGGGGTCATAAGGTCAAAGGTCAAGGTCACTATTACCTAAAAAACTGAAAACAGTTTCTGGGGCATAACTTAAGTTCCATTTGGACCACAATATTGAAACTTCATAGGAGGATTGTTATTTGAAAGATGTAATACTTTATTTAATTCCAATGTCTTACAAATGCTTAAAAAAATCACTTTCGGGCATATAATGCTCCGCCTAGCAGTGCTCTTGTTCTTCTTTTTAAGAGTAGATATTTAAATAGAAATGAATATTTTGTATTTTGAGAATGAATATTTAAACGGAATGTTTTCTATTTGGGCAATAAGTATAATACTGTATTACACCATTGAAAAATTATTAATTTTTCAAATGAAATTTTCATCATTAAAAGATTATTGTCTATTTTGAAATATTGTCAGATTAAAAGATTTTATTCATAGTAATTGATATATACTATATTTGTATAAATTAAATTATTGAAAGATAATTGTCAATTTTGACAATACATACATTTAATTCTTAGAAGTATCTCTTGTATTTATTTATAGTTTGGTCAGAAAGCTCACATAGAGTGCGCCAAGTTCTCACCAGACGGTCAGTATCTGGTTACTGGCTCAGTTGATGGGTTCGTAGAGGTGTGGAATTTTACCACAGGAAAAATTAGAAAAGATTTACGGTACCAGGCACAGGTAAATTATTTCCTCCCACACATTGATGTGTAATGGTCATTTGTTTATAAACTTATCTAAGGAAAGCTATTGTGGTTTGCCGATGACCATTGTGTGTCTTGTTTTGTGAAAATAAATGGCTGGGAGGTAGGATATTTGGCATGTTGAATTGTTATGTTTGGATCTATAAGAGGTATACAAGTACTGGACCTAAAATCATTGAAATAAGATCATCAAAGCCAGTGAATCAACACTCAAACTTTTATGCAGTGTAAATTTAATTTTTTGGTAAATATTTTGCATTTTTCCTTCAAATTTTTGATGCAATATTATTGTTTACAATTTTCTAATCTGTTTAATGGATAAAATAAATGCATTAGTTTATTTCTATCCAAGGCAATACTGTGAGCTCTATACAGAGCCTTTACTGTGTATGTGAGGTAATTGATATATTGTGGCATGGCTGAGTGGTTAATGTGTCAGTATTGCAGGCCGGGTGGCAGCTTCAGGGGCAAGCCATTGTTTATTTGAACAAGAAACTACACTTATCTTTTGGTACTGGTTGGTTTCAGGAACAGATTTTAGAATGTGTCAATATGCTTATTGCTTTCTACACAATCAAACTGAAAAAAAATTATGTACAGACTAAATATTGTATCCCATTCAAAAGCATAAGGTAAATTTTCTATATAAATTTGTGATTTTTTATTATACAGGATAATTTTATGATGATGGACGATGCTGTATTATGCATGTGTTTTAGCCGAGATTCTGAAATGTTAGCGACCGGGGACCAAGGCGGTAAAATTAAGGTAAGTTGAGAGAAGGAGTAGATTTAGATTTATACAGGTATTTGATTTACTGTTTTACACGGTTTAGTTTATAAGATAGTTGTATGTCAGGAGTAAGACGTATTTTTATAAAAATTGTACAGGGTATATGAATTTGTTTTGATGTAGACTTCACAAAAGATTTCAAAATGTCTGAAAAGTCTGATCGATGTAATCTGATCTGAAAATTTATCTTTTTTAATAGATTTTTTTGCTCTGAAAAATTTAATTATTTTTTGAAGACAAATTTTTTTTTCAAAATGACACTTCATCCCATTCAGGAAATCAATTATTATTATAAATTTGTCTGAGATAATCAGCAGCAGCAGAAAATGTATACAATAAAAAACGAAGACAGGCCTTTTTGTAAAAGTCAATCCCATTTAATCTGGTAAAGTCACTGTAGTACTGTATAAGTGGTTAAATTAACTACAAGTAAATATTGGCGAATTTTGCGAATCGACAAAAATCTTTAAATTTCCCTCTAGGTTAAACATCTATCAACCTGTCATTATTTTCTACCATTCACTTACAATATTATTTCCTCACGCGAAATGACTGGAATTTCAAATTTGCAAACTTTTTGAGATTCGGAAATATCCTTTTAAACAGTATTTGATTGCTCAAGAAAAGGAAATATTGTTGCAGAATTGTCTATGATATAGAGTAGATAGTAGTAGACTTTCATTCAGATTATACATTTTAATGTTTTTCCTCCCGAAGGTTTGGAAGATATTGACTGGACAGTGTCTACGCAAGTTTGAAAGAGCTCATGCTAAAGGAGTTACATGTGCAAATTTCTCTAAAGATAATGGCCAACTTCTGAGTGCCTCATTTGACCAAACAATCAGGTAATTGCAGTTCTTAGAGCACTTTATACAACATTAAACCTTATCTTGCTGAAATTGTATCATGAACTTGTCCAACTTGGAATTTGGGTCTGTTAGTTTTAGGGACAATAAATAAACGGACAGTGTTGATTGATTTTACTGAATATAGATCGTTATAAAGTGAGAAATTTTTATGCCCCCGCCATGTAATGGCCCGGGCATATAGTGTTACCCTGTTCCGTCCTTCCGTCATTCCATCCTTCCATCATTCCGTCATTCTGTCATTCCGTCATCATCAGTTTCCGTTCATTATCTTAGTAATGGTTGCAGGCATTCAACTCAAATTTGACATATGGATATGTCATGAGAAAATACAGGTCAAGTTCGAATTTGGTCATGGTGCGATGATTTTTGGCAGAGTTATGCCCCTTTTACTTTAAATTAATATGAAATTTTCAGTTTCCGTTCATTATCTCCCCAATGGTACAACACATTCAACTCAAACTTGACATATGGATATGTCATGAGAAAATACAGGTCAAGTTCGAATTTGGTCATGGTGCGATGATTTTTGGCAGAGTTATGCCCCTTTTACTTTGAAAATAATATGAAATTTTCAGTTTCCGTTCATTATCTCCCCAATGGTACAACACATTTAACTCAAACTTGACATATGGATATGTCATGAGAAAATACAGGTCAAGTTCGAAGTTGGTCATGGTGCGATGATTTTTGGCATAGTTATGCCCCTTTTACTTTGAAAATAATATGAAATTTTCAGTTTCCAATCATTATCTCCCCAAAGGTACAACACATTCAACTCAAACTTGACATATGGATACGTCACAGGAATACGCAGGTCAAGTTCAAAGTTGGTCATGGTTCAATGATTTTTGGCAGAGTAATGCCCCTTTCACTTTGAAAATAATATGAAATTTACAGTTTCTGTTCATTATCTACCCAACAACTCAAATTTGACATATGTTGGAAATGTTGGAAAAATTTTGAACTTTCACTTTCAGCACTGAAATGTTTGTAGCCATTATTTTGGCTACAAATATGAAATATGGTATTTTCAAAAGGTTTAGACTGAATAATTTCAGTGCCTTGAACATTGTATAAAAATGGTTTGTGTTAACATTGAAAAGTTTTAAGGGCTTTGAACTTAAAATGAAAAAAATAATTTGTGCAAACAAATTTGGAACTAAATATTATAACATCTGAAATTTTGGCTGCATGCGGGGGCATCCGTGGCATGATGACACATTTCTAGTTAAAATATTTTTTTAAGAGTGCAAAAATACTCAAAGTAGAAACAAATTTTCTTTTTATCTTGTGATTTATGATACAGTTTTTGCTTAACAATTTGGCAGACATTATCAGAAAATGCTACAAGACTTTTAAATGGTATTAAAAAGAATCCACTTATGTTTTTGGCATGATGAACTAGAAATTTTTTCATTTTTTTCAAATTAATTTTACCATTACATGTAGGTTTTGACCAACAAATAACGTGTGTGCAAAATATAAGGTAATTTGTTCAATCCAATTGTTCAAGAATTTCACTTCATTTCACTTCTGTTGAATGACCACAAAATAAACAGTGTTTTCAACACATTTAACTTAAATAATGATGAGAATTGACAAAAATTGGTTTGAAATTTTATTCTGAGTATATTTATAACCTTTTGTTGTTTTTTTTCCATCTGAAGTGGCCCAGTTGATCAATTTAAGATTTTCAGATTTTCAAATTTTATGTTTTTTAGGCCTTTTGATCTCAGTGAAGCTCCTCATTTCAGTTATGGTACTGTAATGTTACTGTAACATCATGACAATTTTAAGCATTTGGCTGTACTCAAAATTCTATATATTATATACTACAGCTGTTGAGAATGCCCATTTTTGACATTTATTGGCAATATGTATGTGTTTATTTTACAGAGTGCATGGCCTAAAGTCAGGAAAAACATTAAAGGAGTTCACTGGTCATGGGTCATTTGTAAATGATGCTGTGTTCACACAAGATGCACACCATGTGATCAGGTATGTCACTAATGTAAAATTATTATGTTTCGTGGGGCAGTTTTGTTGAAATCCACAAATATAAGATCCAACGAAATTTCATTTCGTCTGCTGTAAGGTTATTTTGCATCACTTTATTTACATTTTAACGTTAGGAAAAATTAACAGTAAGTGAATTTAAGTACCCACAAAAATGTTCTTTGTGAGAAAATCACGAAAAATTTCATGTTCACGAATTTAAGTGAATGGCTGATGATGGCTACAGAGTCTATCCGTGCGACCAGTGCAGATCAAGATCAGCCAGCACATCCGTGCCATCTGATCATAGTCTGCATTGTTTGCTTGTCAGTCAGTACATATTTTAAAATTTTCCCTAGAAATATAACTGGTAGAGTTTAGTGTGGACAAGTTCATTTAGGATGTTTAGTAATACAGTTATTTTAGCAAATTAGCAGGTTAAGGATTTTAGCAGCACACCTCTAGATTGATGCTACTTTCATCAAAATTTTAAAAACATATTTAAGAGAGAAACAGTATGAAGTGAACAAAAGAATATACTTTACACATTGCAAACAGCACTTTCAATAGAAGTAATTTACCAAAAATATGTCAAAATATGCATGAAATGTCCTTACTGTTATTAGTAATGCAGCAGAATGGTGATAAATAATGCAAAATCAGTCATTAATTGCACATAACATCTTAGTTATTACTTGAATTTTTGTACTGTTCTTAAAATCTTAGTACATTTTTCTCAAGTTTGATTTTCTTTAAATATTTTGTTCATCCTGAGACATGCAGCTTTAAGAGAGAAAAAAAAAACAAAAAGCAAATCTGCACAAACATTCAGTGTTGTTTTACTTGAATTTAAATGTTCATAGAATTGAAACACCGCAATGAAAGGGAAAAAAAGTCAATAGTAAAAATATTGTTCCTTGAAAAGGATGGTTTTAATCACTGAAAACATTAGAAAATAAAATTTTGAACAATAGACAGTTGATAATGTTTTTTGTAATTGTTTTGTAATCATTTACTATAGAATGGTGAAATTATTCAACAATATGAATTGCACAATGTTTCTTTTATACACTTATAGTGCCAGTTCAGATGGAACTATAAAAGTATGGAATTTCAAAACACAAGAATGCCAGTCAACATTTAAATCATTTGGTGGTCAGGCTGGCACAGATATTACAGTGAACAGTATACACCCGCTACCTAGAAATGCCGAACAATTTGTGGTGTGTAACCGTAGTAACACGGTGGTTATTATCAACATGCAGGGACAGGTATATTCTTATTATTTATGCTAACTGAATACACTTAATACTTAAAGGTGTTTTAAAAGAACTACACTGAGGTTTGAAAGCCTTAATGTAAAATTTTAATTTCTTACATAGATTAAATGAGATGCTTAAAACAGATATGTATTCAAATGATAGTTAAGAAATTTAATTCAAAATAAATTCAAAATTGTATTTTTATCTTATTCTAAGTCAGATTTGACTTAAATGTGTTGCATTTTCCTTGAGTAAAGTAATAATTGAGAAAAAAACAGAGGAGGCAAACTTTATAAACTTACAAATTTATTCTTATTTTAACACTGGAAGTTATAACAACTAGCCTATCCCATCAGTATAAAGCTATGCTAACCTGAAACAACCACATGATCTGACTATGATATATACTGTCAGCTGCTTAATTAACCATTTCTTTAATTCAGAATCCCTCCCATTGCAGGCCCTTTTTTCTCACCATTTTTTGATTGTCACCAGTGCTAGTGAAGTTAGTGAAAATGCATCGTAAATAGTTAATATTGGGAATATAGTAATGAAAGAATAATGCAAATTTTGACAGATTAAATAACAAATATGACATTATATGTTTTACGTTGTCTGCAGGACTGGTAAATTTTGTATCATAATGAGAAATCGGTGTTACAAAAAGTTAAATAGTTTCTTTGGCTTCCATTGCAGATTGTAAGGAGTTTCTCAAGTGGTAAGAGAGAAGGTGGAGATTTTATATGTTGTACAATATCACCGCGTGGAGAGTGGATCTATTGCGTAGGAGAAGATATGGTTTTATACTGCTTCAGTATTTCTACTGGTAAACTGGAGAGAACTCTCACTGTAAGTATATTATATGAGCCGCGTCATGACAAAACCAACATAATGGGTTTGCGACCAGCATGGATCAAGACCAGCCCGCGCATCTGCGCAGTCTGATCAGGACCCATGCTGTTTGCTTACAAATCCTATAACAAGTAGAGAAACTGATAGCAAACAGCATGGATCCTGATCAGACTGCGCAGGCTGGTCTGGATCCATGCTGGTCGTAAACCCATTATGTTGGTTTTGTCGTGACGCGGCTCAATTATGTTGGTTCAGTATTTCCACTTTACATCAGGAGAACACATGCTTTATGCATAGAAAACACTGAATAAAAAAAAAATCTGTTGTAAAATTTTGAAAATATATGTGGTTAACTTTAACGTATATATACATGACCTAAATATACATAAGGGTATCTTTAACCTAGAAATATATGAGGTAAACTTAAACCTTAAAATAATATGAGGTTAACTTAAACATAGAATATACATGAGGTTAACTTAAACATAGAATATATGTATATTTAACTTAAACATAGAACATATAATTATGCGGTTAACTTTAAGCAAAAAAACATATGAGGTTAACTTAAACCTACACTATAAATATATGAGGTTAACTTAAACCTAGAAAATATATATGAGGTTAACATAACCCTAAAATATATTAGGTTAAATTAACATAGAAAATATCTGATGTCAACTTTAACGTAGAATATGTATAAGATTAAATTAAACCGAGAAAATACTTGAGGTAAACTGAAACCTAGAACATGGTTAACTTAAACCTAAAAAGTACATGAGGTAAATTGAAACCTAGAACATACCGGTATATAATGTTAACATTGTATGTAAGTATATGAATACTCCATTTGTTTATCTTAAATGCAAAGGTGCTTAATATTTTTAATTACCTGATTCAAATGATTAACATGTTTTTAATACAACATTTTTTCTCTAATTTCAGGTTCACGAGAAAGATGTAATAGGTATAAGCCATCATCCACATCAAAATCTCCTGGCTACATACAGCGAGGATGGTTTACTGAAGCTCTGGAAGCCCTGATTTATGTATCTGATCCTCACATGTACATCACAACTTCTTCATAGACTTTTTCATTTCTTATAAGCGTTCACGTTGATCATGTAAAATAGCAGCAACAGTTGTCTGTGTAAATGTTACGTTTTATTTTGCTTCCAGAAAACATTTCAGTGGAGTACATGTATATAGTTACATGTGTGTTCTTCTTTCCTTTAAGTCCTTTGATCACATGTGCTTACTCTATGTAAGTTCAGGCTCATGAGAAAGATTTAATGATCATTTATTGACTAATATCTTGGATTTTTTGAAGTGTGTTGATCTGTAACTCTTTGAATTTGTCTCAGAGGCGATTCAGTCAATGTTACTGATGCAAATAACAGATATTTTTTTTAACTTTTCCAAATAAAAAGGCCATAGTTATCACTTTTTTATACCAACATCAGGGAGTTCTTACATGGGTCTTTAACAGATATTTTTGTGCAACTTTAGAGATTTCAGTGACAAGTGGTGTAAAACTTGCTTCACTTAACACAGTCTATAGTGACCTACTTTTAGAAGACTTATTTTTAGCTCGACTATTTGAAGAATAGGGAGGGGTACTGTACTTGTCCTGACGTCACCTTCACAGTTTGGTATCTCCAAAACAATTGAAGGGAATGGGTTGAAACATCACACATTTGCTCTCCTCTCTCTCTGTGATTATATAACATGTATCTACACAGGTCCTGTAAGTCTGAGTTAAAAGTTACACTTTTTTACAGAGTTATGCCCCCATTTCGTACTGTCAATCACTAAGAATAGCACTGTCCTAAGGACAGCTGTTGTTTAAGCCATTCTACAGCATAAAGAGAATAGTACAGCTTCATATTGAGTATACATGTATGGAGAAAACAACTAATTTTGTTGCAAAACATTGTAGTCGGATTTATGTTTATTGCAAATCTGTGACTTGGGGGAAATTATGTTGATGAAAAACTTTTTTATTAAAAAAAAACTACAAAAGTATTTTTATCTTAACCAAAAAGGTTTTTGCTTGTTTTTACTGATATAAACTTATATTTTCGAAACCCCCGGGTTTAAAGATGTTTTCATTGCCCAAGCCATAAATTAAAAAATTTTAAACACTTTTTAAAAAGCTTACTTTTGGTTTTAAAAATTTAATAAAAAAATATATTGTTTCCCCTTCAGCCATGTATATAAACCCGATTAAAAATCCCCCTGGGGCTATCCCCAAAAAAACATGTTTTCAAATGTGGGATTGTAATAAATCTTTTTTAAAATGTCAATTTTCCCGGGCATTAAAATGTTCATTTAAATTAAATTTTTTTGGGTTTCTTTAACATTCTTTACCATGAGGAGCCCC